ATTTCTGTTCCCCCTGCACTCAGCAGGCTCTTTAGCATAAGCCATCTGAAGGCTAGCCCTCATTCAAGCAAAGACATTTCCCTTTCCATCTCAAAGTGACATCCTCTCTTCACTGTCTCCCTGGAAGACCACCACTGATTTGCTGACTTCCCCTGCGGAGGCTGCACGCTCTGTTCTGTTCCTCGAGGAGGCGCACTTGCCAAGGGCTCCTCCTGCCCCAAACCTACATCAGAGGCTGGCGGTGGAGAGTCAGGATTGGGAGGAGGAAAGGGCTCCTAGCAGAATGACCTTGAACATGCTGGAGCCCTGGGCCCCTGTTGTTTCCCCTTCTGCAAGTGTGAGGAAGTCAAGCTTCAGGGCTCCTCTCCCCTCCCCCCCCCCCCCCACCGTGCCACTCTAGGCCTGTGACTCACCCAGCGGGGAGCTGGAGACAGACTACCACCCCTGGAAACAGATGGTACCATAGAGAACAATTGTCCTGGGACCCTGAGGCCACAGGGGGTCGCCTGCCATGGTATAAGCACTGGAGACACTTTGGTTGTCAAAAAAGACCCAGGCTCACCAGGGTGGGAAGGGCTAACTTGATTCCTAACAGCAAACATGTCCTAATCGACCAGATTTCTCCCCTGCCCCCACAGGTTGGCCTCCAACCCTTCCTGCTGGGCGCCCCCGGGTCAGCAGCCCAGTCGGGCAGGCCTCCAGCTGTGGACAGAGGCAGGCCAGCCAGGGGCTCTGCCGTCCACTGGAGTGAAGGTGAGGACTGAGGGAGGCGCCCGGCACGGTCCAGCAGAGTGCAGAGGCCATTGGCAGAGATCAGAGGAGAAAAATCACCCCACTGACAGCCTTGAGGAACGCTCTCCATAAGTCCCCCAGCTTCGTGGGGCTGATTCAAGATACGTATGTTCTCTCTGGCTAAAGACATCTGTTAGACAGGCCTGGATTCAAATCCTGTCTCTGCTCCTGACAAGATGTCTGGGCAAATCACTGCAACTCCCTGGCCCTCAGACTTCCGTTTATCTACAGAAGTGTCCGCAGAATGAGGATAGCAATACTGTCTACTAGTGAGAGCCTAGGAACACTAAATGGGATGAAGTGTGTACAAACAAACACGTAGCATTGTGCCTGGCTCAGAACTCCTAGGAATTAGAAAACACAACCCAACACAACCTTTCCAGGGTCTCGACACCACATTAGCAGGAGTCATGATAAGGAAGAACCATAGAGTTAGAGCTGAAAGGAAGCTCAGAGGCCTCAGATCTAGTCCCTTCACCTAACAGATGAGGTGGGGGGTGGGGCTCAGAGAGGCTGAAGAATTTAGCCAAGGATGCACAGCTAGGTAGTAACGGAGCAAGGCTCAAACTCAAGGTTTTCTGACTCCCAGAGACCCACCACCCTTTCAGGCCACCCCAACCTCTCTGGCCATAGACAGCTCTTGCTCAGGGCTCCTTCCCACAGAGAGGGCTTTGGTGGGGGAGCCCCCCGTTGGCACCTAGCCCCATAACCAGCCCCCTGGAGTAGGCCACAGAGTGCCACTGGAAGAAACTCAGGGTGAGGGGTGGTGGATGAATGCTGGAGATTCCTAGAAGTAGGAGCTCAGGGGAATAAGATTTGGATTACCAGGCATGTGGAGGGGCTATGCAAATAAGATACAAAACACATGTAAATGGCCACGGGTTATTGATGAATCAACAATTTGAGCTCTTTCTTTTTCTTTTCTTTTCTTTTTTTTTAATTTTTTTGTGACTGGATCATATTATGTGATGTGAAGCCTTTTTTCTCTCTTGGCTTTCTGCCAAATGGAATGAAATAAAATCTGTGGTTGGCCAACCAAACCATGCTTTGCTTGTTGAGGGGCCCAAGCTCACTCCTGTCCACCCGGCCGCCCCACAGATGTCTCACCAGCGCTCGGTCGGTAGTACTCCCCAGTGTCGACGGCATCTGCCTCCGCCTGGCTGGTCAGGGCAGCAAGCCAAGTGCAGGGGGACCTCTGGCTGAGAGATATTCCCCCAGGCCCAGCAGCCTGCTGACTCTAACTGCCCAGGGAGGATCATGCTGCCCTTCCTTCAGGGGGACCAGGCAGTAATGGGCCAGGGCCTGGAGTGGCTCAGCCCGTCGGCCCAGCCTCCAGGATCCTGGCTTTGGGAGCTAGACCCCAACGGTCTTTCTCTCCCTGAGGAGACTCCTGTCCATGGGGCAGGACCCCCCCAGGCACTGCTGGGGTGTGGCTCTAAAGGAACGGCCTAAGCTGTTGGGCAGCTGCGGTCGGATCCCTGAAGGAGAATGCAGGGAGGTCTAGTTCCCAGAAAGAAGGTTAGAGGTTAGCCATCTGAAAGGCCTGACGGAGGCTCAACGCTGTGAGCTCTGAAAACTCACCCAATTCAATTCACATTCACTGAGTGTCTGCCTTGTGCCAGACACTGAGCTAAGCATTCTGGAGAATTTGCAGAAATGGACAACATGCAGTTGCTGCTCAGGTCACTGCCCTGAACACACTGACAATCCACCAAGGAGGAAGAGACATGTACAAATATAACTTAGCAGTATTCTGAAACCTCCCTGGAAATGCACTGTGTGTGTGCGTGCACGCATGTACGTGGGGGGGGTGGGGTGTATGTGTTGCTGTAGAAGAGCATGAGTGTGCGTGGGGCGGGGCGCCAGGGCTTGCTTATTCACACCCACTTTGAGCCATATGTTAGTAATGTTCATACAGCTACACACATAAACATACCACTTCTGGCTTGCAGGTAATACCAAGTGCATTATACAGTACTAAGTGTTTTATACGTAGGAGTTTATATTCTTCCGGTCATTTTAGGAAGAAGGTACTATTATTTCTTTTAAATGATGCCTACTCATTTTATCTTATTTTATTTTATTTATTGATTGATGAGCAAGCACAAGCAAGAGAGAGGGAGAAACAGACTCCCCACTGAGCAGGGAACCTGATGTGGGGCTCGATCCCAGGACCCTGGGATCATGACTTGAGCTGAAGGCAGACGCTTGACTGACTGAGCCACCCAGGTGCCCGAAGAAGGTACTATTATTAATGTTCCTTTTTATAGATGAGGAAATTGAAGCTTCAAGAGGTGAAGAGTGGCTTTCCCAAGGTCACACAGCTAGGAACTCATAGCAAGGATTTGAACCTACGCCTGTATTCTTAGGCTCTAGGCACCCCCCTACCTTGGCCCTCAGAAGACAGCTCCCCAACACCCCCGGCTCCTGGAGGCCAGAGCAAGGAGCAACCACAGCCACGCCCTGGAAGACAGAGCCTGCAGCCCTGCCGGCTCAGCCACCCCCATTCCCACAAGGTGAGTAGGGCATGTTCTGCAGGCCTGGGACCACTGTCACATCAGGATCAGGCCTTTGGTTCACCTTGGCACCCGCTCAGCGACAGAATTTCTCGAGCAGCCCTCCTACATCTGCATATCTGAGTGAGTTTCCTAATGTGGCAACACTTTGTTATAATGGTCCGCCTCAGAGGCCCAGGCCGCTCTAATGGGCTGAGACCAGCTTCCTCTGCACGGCCCAGCCACCACTTGGGATGAACGGCAGCCGGAAGGTCCCTCTGCAGCTGCGCCTGCAGGGGGCTTCAGGGCCCCCTTCTCCGCCTCCCCCCATCCCCTGAGCGGCAGCCTTCGCCCACCTCCCCTGGGAAACGAGGTTGTGAGGGAGGTACGCAGGGCACGGAAACTGGCATGTCGGCGCCGGGACAGGGGGAGTCAGGAAGGAAGGTGGGCAGTGGAATCTAGGCTGTGCTCCCAACTGGCTTCGGGAGACCCTCTGGGTCTCTCCGAAGTTTCTCCTTTACCAGTTCCTTCTCCACCTCCCTTAGAGGATCATGGAGAGGATAGGAAAAAAATGGTGCGTGAAGAAAAGTTTGAAAAGGTAAATGTGCACAAATGCAATGCACACAGGAGAAACGTGGGCACCTAGGCCTGCCTGGGCAAGTTGCCAAGTGAGGCCAGAGGCCCCGTGTCCCAGATATGGAAGCTACTCTGGGGATGGCAGGTGCCAGGGATGGTCGGAGCTCCCCCGTAGAAAGGGAATCTACTGGTGACCAGACTCAAAGAGGGGGACAGCATGCTTCCCAAGAGTGTCCCCGCCAGGGCAGCATGGACTGGCAGTGGGCCCAGACATTCACTGGCACTTGGTGGCCCAGGCACTGCCTGGTGACGAGATTATGGCCTGGCAGGCCCCAGCGTAGACCAGACACTCGCCTGAGGACCACCACTATCAGGCCACCCACCCTGGTGCTGCCTGGACCCCGCATCAGCTCCTCTGCGGTGACTGGCAAAGCCACACACAGCTTAGCAACAGGACAGGGACTTTAAGAGCAGGCACCTTCATCTGTCCCCTCTCCTGCCTGCAACAGAGATCCCGTAAGTGGAAGTTGGGCAGAGGTCATCAGACCGCTTAGGTTCAGCGGGACAGCCGTGGAGGGTGGAGCTGGCTGCCGCAGACGCCAGAGAACACAAGAACTGAAGAGTGTGTTCAGGAAGCCTGCCCGGGACTGGCTGGAGAAGCAGCTCTCCTGCCCCTGGGAGGTCACACTCCGGACACCCTCACCCCACTCTAGCCATCTGCTCGGCCCCTTCCACATCCCCAGATGGGGGCTCGGTTTATTCCCACCCCACACTCACTGTGACCGTCTTGGTGGCCCCCTCCAGAGCCCCCACCCCAGGCTGGACAGGCAGCCTCGGCTTCCCTGGCCACGTCAGGAGAACAGCAGCGGCTTCAGCTCTAGGGTCCTGGGCACTGCCAGGTTCCCATTCGCCCAGCTACCCAGCCTCCCCCCCACCCCCGCTTCCACTGCGGCTCAGCCTGGCACTGTAGAGGCGACAGGAAGGCAGAGTGAGGACTGGGGCACAATGGCCCAGGGACTGTCTGGCTTCCATGGGGTCTTCTGCTCTACCTTTTATCCTCTCTAGATGGCCCTGGAGCCCCCCAGCATGGGGCGCAGGGTGGGGCGCAGCGGGTACCTTCAGCGGCTCTGGACTCACCGGAGGGGGATCTTGACGCGGAGGTAGCGGTCCACGGCAATTGCCAGCAGGGCCAGGATGGAGCTCTGGGTGAGGATGAGGACGGGGCAGGCGACCATGAGGCAGGTGTGGAAGTAGGTCCGCGGCCCGATGTTGATGAGGATGGCTAGTGGGATGACCAGAGCGCCCACAGCCACATCAGCCACGGCCAGCGAGACAATGAAGCAGAAGGTGGCATCCCGCAGCGCCTGGTTCACCTTCACTGCCCAGATCACCAGCACGTTCCCGGGCACAGAGACCAGGGCGATGAGCACCTCGATGCCAATGTAGGCGGCCTGGAAGGCCGAGATGGAGGGCGGCATGGCAGGCACGGGCCAGGCACATCAGCAGACGGGCGCCAAGGGTCAGGAGGCAGGCACCTGTGGTCACGGAAGCCTGCGGTGGGGAGGCCTGCCTGGCAGGGGCAGGGGGAGCCCAGGCAGCTCGGAAACCCCCGCTGCCCTTTGGAGCGGTTCCCCACTTGGCCCATCTAGTGCCTGCCCAGGCTGGCGGGGAACCCTGGCCCTTTCTCTGCCTAATCTTTGTCCCCTCCCCTTATCATTCCCAGAGGGTCCATTCAACAACTTAAAATAGCAGCGCTCACTCCTCCACTGGTTTATCAGGTGTGAGGCAGCTCCCGCGCGCGCGCGCGCACCCCACAGGGGTCCCCGTGCCTGGCTCTGCCCACCCATCCCACAGAAGAGGCTGTAGGGAGCTCACCATCCTGCCCGCTGGCCACCAGGGGGTCCCGGAGGCGGTGCCCAAAGTTCTGGGCACCTGGTGGCGCGCCGAGCTGCGGGGCGGCGCCGGCGGGGCTGGGCTCCCGGCACCGCGCACCGGCGGCTCGTGGTCCCCGGCTCCCGCCGCCGCTCTCCCAGCCCGGCCTTTCGAGCAATCACATGGTGCGGCGGAGGCTCAGCCCCAGGCGCTTTTAAAGAGGTAGCGCCCCGGTGTCGCACCTGGGACTGGGCAGGCAGGCGTGGGGCTGGGGGACGGAGCCCAGCCGCAGATCGGGGCGCGGGCTCCCCTTTGCCCGGCCGGCGCGCACATGTGCCCGGCACCACCCGCCCCAGCCACTGCGGGCGCCCGCCTCTCCGCAGCGCCCGGTCCCGCTCCAGGGACCCTGCCAGGCCAGGAACTCCCGCCCGCTCCTGCCCCAAGGGGCATCCCGGCCGCCCCTCTCAGCCCTCTCCTGCATCCCGCACTGGGGAGCCACGGCGGCGAACCGAGGCACAGACTTACCCAAGGTCACCAGAGCTGGCCGGGCTCCTAGCCGCCTGAACGGTCGTGTCCAAGCGCCCTCCCAGCTCGACGCCTTCGGCAGCCGCCCGCTCCGGGGATGCCTGCACGATCCGGGGCCAGCCTGTCGGGTCCAGGGGGACGGTCGCTGGCGGGGATTCGACTTGGGCGCCGGCGCCTCCGTCGCCCCCGGCGGGGAGCTGAGTGACAACCCGGCTCGGCACACCGGGAGGGGGCGGGGGCGGGGGCGGCGGCGGCACCCGCGGGCCCCTCCCTCCTCGCCCTCCGTCTCCTCCCCCACCCCCTCCTCTAAACAAAGGAAATGATTCTGGGTGAGAAAAGCTGGGAAAATGTGAGCTTTTCCAGGGTCTGGTGTGTGAACCCAGCCTCGGGAGTGGACAGACGGGCAGCCTCCCTGTGTTCACTGGCTCCCCTCTCAATGCGTGATGCCTGGCCTCCGGGGACCCCTGCACCCGGCGTGTCTGGGCGTCTCACCTGCAGGGCTCCAGGGTGCCCCCCTAACCCCCGCAACAGTCAGCTAGAAGCCCGGGCACACGCTCCCACCCCTCACTGCTGAAACCCTGCTCTCCCATGAAACCAGCCCCTGCATATTCTCAGGAAGCCTTCTGGAGCACATTACTTCGCAGGCTCTATCCTGAGTCATTATATTCTCTTCTCCTCTATCTTTCAGAACTGCCTGTTCGTCTATTAGCAATGTCCATTTTACAAATGAGGGCACTGGGACTCAGGGAAGTGACCTACCTTCCTAAGATGATCTCAGCCACTGTCCCCCCCCCCCCTTGTGCCCCTTTTCTTTCCTCCTCCTCCCTCTTCGTTGCACAACACCTAAGCCAAAAGGTATCCAGTCCAATCCCCTCATGTTGCAGATAAAGAAGCAGACTCGGGGAAGGAGGGGACTTCTGCGAGATCACACAGCAAATCCTAAGGGGACCAGAGTCAGAAACCAGGCGCCTGACTCCTGACACAGTGCTCTCCACACTGTGCCCCATCCTGATCCCCCCCTTGGCTGTCTCCTGCTGCACTTACAGTTTAGGCGGCCCACTGGTACCCACCGAGGACCACCGGGGGGGACAGACCCTCACCCAGAAGACTGTGCCTTGCAGAGACCCTGACCTGAGAAATCCTTGTTCGTGGATATTGGAAATGGGCCTGGGAGGGCAAAGAGAGTCAGTGCCAACCCACCAGGCCACACCCCAGTCCCTGCGGGCACTGCCCCCTGTTGAATCTCCGGATATCAAGAAAAAGGTTCTGCCCAGAGGAGGGTGAGCACACGGCCTCTGTCGAGGGGGTCTGCACTGAAGCGCAGTGGGGATGGACTGGGGCAGGAAGCCGAGCAGCTGGGAAGAAGGGGTCAGGGCAGGTTGAATCTTCCAGGGGGAGGAAGAAACCCAGCTTGGGGAAAGATCACTTCCATTTCTGCCTTCAGGGGGAGCAAGGAATCTGTGCCTCAGGCAGCAAAATTGCAGTCCTCCCCTGCAGCCCAGCTGGAGAAACAAGGAAGTGTCCACTCTCATTTTGCCTCCTTTCCCTCGGCTTCCCCTGCAGACTTCCTCAACACTCCCAATGGCATCCCGACATTCTGCTTACTCCCCATGCCACGTGAACACGCCAACCTGCGCATCGGTCCCCCTGCCTTGAGCCCTCGCCTTGGCCCATGTTTTTTGGGGTTCAAGGCTTCCTTTTGATTTTCACTCAGCCCCCTGATTTTCACTCATGGAGCTGACAGAAAAACCCCAGGAAGACCCAGGCAGGTCTGGCTTGGGGCAGAGGGCGGGGGAGAGATGATTGCATCACCCTATCTAACCTTCCAGCATCTTCAGCTCTGGAGGGCACCTGAGCCCACCCCCAATTCTTCTTACTGTGGGTGGTTGACAGGTAGTGGATACGTTTGCATAATACGTGTAGATCATTTGTTTTTCTTCAGTTCTGGGTAAAATGAACCAAAACCCTCTTCCCTTCTTTCCTCTCTCTCTCCCTCCCTCCCCTCTTCCCTCAACCTCTGCCTGTTCCCAGGGCCAGTCCTCCTGGGGGATCAGACTGGCCTGTTTGAGAACAGAGCAGGCCCAGTCAGGGTCCATCCCAGAGAGTTGTTCTGGAAAAAAACACACCACCTCCTCAGAGTCTTCTGGGCAGGAGGGAGTGGGGGTGTCCGTGGTAAACACAGTGCTCCTGGGCAGCAAAGCCATTTGGTGCCCTGAAAAGAGCACTTGATTAAGAGTCAGAAGAGCTGGAAGCAGACTTCTAGGCCTTACGCTGCCACTCACTGGATGGGTGGTCCAGGCAAATCACGTCTCCTCCCTTGGCTTCCGTTTACCCATCGGTCAACTTAGACAAATGACATCTTTCGTCCTCTCCTGCTCCAACAGCTGGGAAGTTCATTCTAAGGTGGGAAACATGGCCAAGATGGAGATCACGGGTGCTAGGCCTTTCCACCTAGAAACCTTGTGAGTCCTGGCTACCCCATCTAGGGCAGATTCCAGGACGGAGAGGGAGAGACTTTTGTGGCAGGAGAAAGGGGACATCGGAGGTCTGTAGTGGGAAAAGAACAACGTGGGAACATATAGGCAGAACAGCTGAAACGAGATATCCAGAGTTTACATTGAGCCAAAAACTCTCCGGCTTTCGAAGTATGTCCAGGACCCCCGACCAGATGACACTCCCCATGACCATCCATGCTTTGAACAGCTGTGTCTTGGTTTCCTCATCCATAAAATGGGCATAGTTGCGAGGGCGTAATGAGCTGAGTTATGGAGAAGGGCTAGCACAGATATTTTATCCACAAGGCAAGTAGGCAACCCCAGGCGGGTGGAGTAGTGTCAGCAGTAAAAGGGTAAGGGAGTGCAAAATTCTGGAATCTGCTCTGCGCAGCCAGTCATGCTAAATCCCACAAGTACCAGATTTGGGGGCCCCTATAGGTACCCAGGGAAAAGCTTCTATCTGGCATGTGGCTCTGGGGGTGAGATAATATCACAGTGAGTCTAAATACCCCAAGGGGACTACCCTTTACCCCCTTGCCCCTTTACCTCTTGGTCCTACTTCTTTCCTTCTGGAGCCTCATCCTGGGCTTCTCCAGGCCCCTCACCCCTGCAGTCTCTGTGCTGAGGGCAGGGGTGTAGGGAGAAGGCGGGGGCTGAAGTGTAGCACCCCTGAGAGACAACCTTGCATGCCCTCCTCCTAGAATTCTCAAAACTAGACAGAGAAGGGCCTGTCCAAGAAGGGAAGCCATTCCCGAGCACCCCTGCCTCAGGATACCAGCAGGGACGGGGGGTAGCAAGGCCAGTGAGGCCCCCAGAGAAGTCTGGGGGAGTGGATGAGGTTTTAAGATTTGTCTCTTACCCTTTCCAGCAGGTAGGAGCTTATTTTGGTCCCTGCAGTGTTTCTCAGCATTGTCCTGGGCAATATGTGTCCAAGGACAAGGGGGAGGAGGGCTGTGGGCAGGTTGGAGGGGAAGGATTTCTGGATGGCTGGGAAGCCCCTGGCCTCCCGACCCCCCTCCCCCCCCCAAGCCCACCTCCGATGCCCTGCTGTGCCTTCCTCCAAGCTCCCTCCCTCTTCAGATTTGGAATCTAGGTCTCTCTGCCTCCTCACCCTTCTCCCCTCTCCCAGGCCAGAGGCTCCTGTGGGTGAGATGCTGAGGAAGGAGCTTCACCCCGGCCTGAGAATTCCCCTGCGTGCCTGCATGCTCGTGAGGGCAGGGGAGGCATGGGCTAGGTCGGGGCTAGTTAGTCCAAGTTCCTCCAGACAGTTCAGAAGTGTTCCTGAAGCAGGATGTCACTTTCATTTCTTTCTCAGCCTCACTGCTCCTTTGTTAATTCATTCATTCTTTTATTCTATTCAACAAACATTTATTGCTCCCCTTTCTTGTATCAGACAGTGAGCTGAGCACTGGGATTAGAGAGCTAAGAAAACCGAGTCTCCCCCATAGTTTCCAGAAAGAGCTCCGATCAGGTGGGGAGCATCAGCTTGAAGAATACACATCCTTCTTGTGAGGATCAGGATGTCTTTCTAACCTCGGTCTTCCCTTCCCTCCCACCAGTCTTGTTGAATTTCAGCAGGGATGAAAAAGAGCTAAAAATGCCGGGGCTGGAAGGGTGGCTGGCAGCCCTCTCACCAGTGGGGTGGGGTGGGCAGGTAGCACTGGGAGCTGAGGACCCTTCACACTTGGCAGAGGGCCTCAGGACCTCCGAGGCTGGGAAGGAGGGTCAGGTCTTGGATGCTCACAAAGCCACCCCTGCTTTAGCTAGAGCACCTCTGCTCTAACTGAGCTCACATGTGGGTTCCTGGTGTGAGATTTTATTTGAATATAAGATTTTATGAGCTCTGTGGCTTTAAAAAACTTGAAAATCTGAAGTTCTACTCAACGTTTCGTTGTATAGATAAGGAAACCAAGATCCAGAGAGGCAGGAAATTTCGTCAAACTCACCCACGAAATGGGGAGGAGCCTGGTGACATCCAGAAATAAGCCACACTCTGGGCCCTGGCCCCATGGATCCCTCGGGGAACCCCTTGAACACCAGCCCTTTAAACCCCAGCTGGCGTTCACAGCTTCCCCAGCTCAGAGGGGAGGGAGGGAGGCTGCTAACACACCCAGACAGAGCCAGCCTCGAGTGCATGCACACTTCCACGATGATAAAAGCGTGCCAGGTACACAGCAATTGAATGTTCAGAAAGACATATGTTATGTCCCACATAGAGCATCCCATTTAATGTTCACCACGCACCTGGCAGGTAGCAAAGCCATTGTCAACTGAAGCCCAGAGAGGTTCAAGGGAAGCC